CTCCAGTATGGGCACAAACAAACAGACAAAAACAATATGTTTCATTGAATTCTGTGTGTTATTACTAGAAAATTAGCTGACCCTGAGCAGAAGCTTTCAGGAATCTTCCATGTATGGCCAACTCAGAAGCAACTTGAGAACCTAGAGCTTATGACTGCTATCTGAAAAGTGTGTTTGGGGAGGTGGGGGGAGGGTGCCCAACTGACCCTTAACCTGTCGGGCCTGTGCTAACATGGGCAGTTAGAGTCAAAATGTGAAATAGATTCTAGTACTCTTATATGATGTCCTCATAGAAGTGCAGAAATGCTGATAGGAAAAATCCACACATTTTTGTGTCAGAAGAGTTGTGAGCAGAAGTTTCTTTCTACATATGTATTATTACAATATTGAGATATTATTATTATTATTATTTTTGGGTCCGGTCGTGGGGCCTGAACTCTGGGCCTGGGCACTGTCCCTCAGCTCTTCAGCTCAAGGCTAGTGCTCTACCACTTGAGCCACAGCGCCACTTCCGGCTTTTTTCTTATGTGGTGCTGAGGAATCAAACGCAGGGCCTTGAGCATGCAAGGCAAGCGCTCTACCACTGAGCCACCTTCCCAACCCCCTATTGAGATATTATTTAGGTGCATAATTACTAGTTTATTTTTGGACAATGAGATGCTGTAACTGAATGGATACATTTTGAACGATGACACATTTTTTTTAAGTTATGTTCTTCAATTCATCTTCTATTTGATTATGCCTATACGTCTTCCCACATAAGGTTTTAGTTTTCCTTCTGTGTACAGTAGTTTGAACTCAAAGCTTCACTTTTGCTTGATTTTGAGGCTTCACTTTTGCTTGATTTTGCTTACTTTGCTGATATTCTACCACTAGAGTCACACCATCAGCCTGGATTTGTGTTGGGTATTTTGCAGATGAAGTTTGTTGGACTTTTCTACTCAGGCTGGCTTTGAATTCAATTCTTTCGGTCTCAGCTACCCAAGTAGTTAAGATGATGTGAGCTACTGGCTCCTGGCCCATAGTAGGTTTTAATATGGGTAGAAAAACCAATCTTGGAAGATGTTATTTTCTACAATGAGGTTTTTGCAGTTGCTACTGGTAAATGAAGTAACTTCTGAGAAAACATGGTGACAATGACATGTTTAGAGATTTTTAATAACCACCTCATACCTACTGGTGACCACAAAGTCAGGTGGGAAGTTTAAATGTTGATACACAGAAGAAAAGTTTATAGTCAGTGTAATCATTTTTGGAAAAATTTTTATCAAGATTTTATGTCATTTTTATGTTGGTACAACATAGTAAGCTTCTATATATAATTTCAAAAGTGATTAAATTAATATAGTTCAGAGCACTAGGTTCTCAGAGTCCTTTCCTTTGATTTACCTTGAATAAACAGAGGATGTTTTGTTTTATTGAAATAATGTCAAACCTCTTTGATCATTCCCTGCTCTGCTCCACCCTTCCGGAGGTCAGTCTCCTGTGGGATCATGTTCCAAGTATTTGTCTTGGAATTCATAGGGTTTCCAGTCTCCACCAAGATTCTGCTCTCATCTTCTCTGGGATGAAGCCCAACCTGAGGAATTGGAATTCCCCCAAGTCTCCCTTATTTCAACATTTACTTTATGCTACAGTTCTTTCTTCTACTTCACCCTTTCTAAATCCCGGAAGACCAGCTTCCAATTTAATAAAGCTTTCCCTCCCACCTCCACGTACATTTGCTAAACCTTTTAACTAGGATTTGAACTCAGGGGCCTAGTGCTTGCTATTCAGGTCCTCTACCACTTGAGCGACATGCTCAGCTCATGTGTCCTGGAATATGCTCCTGTAAGTAGTTGAAATTTTTCATTGTTCCCTTTCATGCAGAAGATCATGCATACAAGAGCCTGGATTTTACTGTTTGTTGCTTAGAACTCAAATATCTAACCCATTGTGCCTTGCCAGTGAGAGTCACTTATAAGTAATCATTGTATGTATGCTTCCCTATAGAATTACTCATCCCTTAGTTATTCAAGAAATGAATGATAGTCTTGGATGAATGATAGTCTTGGGTAGGTTGTGATCTGAGAGCAGATAACTCACAGGCAGATAATACTCCCAGTCACTGTAACTGGGCACTCTTAAGGTCTTTCTCTTTTCAGGCCTTCCTTTTCTCTCTATACAAGTATCACACATACAACAAAAGCTTAAAGGCTATATGGGACGAGGAAAATTATGGCAGAGGAATACCATCAGAGCAATGCTGGAAGAAAATCTGTGGTGGAATCTACTTACAAGGAAGTTATCAATATCCAACTCTGTCCTTTGTGTTCCCGGATTTCTTCTTCCTTCTTCACTCACCCACCCACTCACCTATGCCAATTTCTTTAGAAAGAATTTGGCAAATCAGTTACAATAAGGTGATTGATGTTACCTTTCCACCTTTATCCAACAACAGTCTCTGGATTTAGGGGAACAAAACTTTGGGGACCATTTATGTAGGCCAGGTTGAAGTGTCAAAGGAGATCAATGGCAAATGCTTCATCTCTGAAGAAAGAATTTACTAGTAGGCACACAAAAGAGTCTTGAATAGAGTAAATTACTTCAAGTAAATTCTGGATTTTATTTAAGCAGGAGTGATCATAAAGCAATAGTACACAGCCCGTAAATTCTGGATTTTATTTAAGCAGGAGTGATCATAAAGCAATAGTACACAGCCCCAAAGGAAACTGAGTGCAGGCAGCCTGACTAAGCAATCCTCCCCCAGTTTGGGCCACATTTATGGATAGAGTTTAAAGACTCTGCTTACCAATATGTGGATATGTGCATAACTTGAGTTATCTAACAAACACAAGGACATTTCCAAACCTTGGAATTTTTACCTAATAAAGTGACACTTTAGGAGGAGACTTGTAGGCATGAAACTATAAATATAATGAGATGTACATGAGACTTATGGCTAACCTCTGGAGTTGGGACTATTCTCATTGGTGTCATTGGGGTGAACTGTTCACTTTTGTACCAAAGAGTAATTAGACATTATGCTAAAATGGTGGTGGAGAAAAGATTTGGTGAAACATACCCACACATAATACTGGACCTGTGTACTGGTTCTTTTCTGCTGTGGTGATCCTCTTTCTACCTGCCTGTCAGATAGGAGGAGAGTGGAGAAATTCCCCCGTAGCCCAAGCTTTTACTTTTAGTCTTTTATTCTTCTGTACATTTTTTTTTTTATCAGAAGATGATTGCTAGTGGTCACCATAGACTAAACTATTCAAAAATAGATACAAGTTGAAACACAAAGTTTCTTTTCTTTTCCCTCTCCTCCTCTCTCCTCCCCTTTTCTTTTTCTCTTCTCTACTCCCAAGTTCTTCTTTCTTTTCTCTCTCTCCCCTCCTTCTATCTCTTCTACCTTCCTTTCTTTTTCTTGTTTTTCTTTAAAAGAAATTACTTTGGCTATTGAGGAAACATCCTACCTCAACAGAATTTAAACCATGTAAAAGCAGGCTGTAGGTGTGACATATATGGTAGAGCCCTAAGCTAACACAAGCATGTTGAATAAATTCCGAGAACTTAGTTTAAACCTGGTAATCAGAAAATAAATCTAGTTTGGATGCCTGTCATAAGATACATGCCTATAAATCCAATTACTATACAGTTGTGAAATTTTGGAAAATTGGTGTATGTGACCATCCCTAAGCAAAAATACGAGACTGTATTTTTAAAAATACTGGTAAACTAATGCAAGACATACTATGGGGGTGAAAAAGTTGCAATTTTGCCTAAAAAAATTTCCCTATATGAGCCAAGAACTGTGGTTCCTGCCTGTAATCCTAGCTGTTCAGAAGGCTGAAATCTGAGGATAACATTTCAATGCCAGCCTGGGCAAGAAAGTCTGTGAGACTCTTATCTACAATAACCTACATAGAAAAATCAGGAACTGGCACTATGGCTCAAGAACACTAATCTTGAGCCCAAAGAGGCTCAGAGACAATGCTTATGCCCTAAGTTCAAGCACTAGGACTGGCAGATGACTTTCACCTTAGTTTAGAACTACATATAGTTGTAAGTTTTTTTACTTAGGAAAATAAAAATGCAGTGTTTGTTAGTACTGTGTGAAACACGGAGCGGATGTAAAGAAAAATCCCACTGATGGAAGAGGCTAATTGATTCAATCATGAGACCTGAGGAATAGAAGAAGTGGAAATCATCTTCAAGTACAACATGGCTTAAATGGCTTAAATCAATACAAGGAGTTTTTATATCTTAACTTTTTGATGGTTATTTGAAGATGGAGTCCAGAGGATCTTTCTGCTTGAAATGACATAATTCTCTTGATGGCTGCTGCCTTCACAGCTTGTATTACAGGAGTAAGTCACCAGCTTCTGGCTACAATAGACATTATCCTCAAACATATATTTGTTAATTATTTTGTAAGCTATAAAACATGTCAAATTTTCCTGATCTAATATAACTTTTTCAGTATAACCGGCTTTGAAAAAATTATCAAAATGATTTAATGTGAGGAAACTTACAAATGAATTTTAATTTTGAGAAAAAAATATTTTGAACTCACAGAATGTAAAAATATATTGAAATTATGTAATTGTTACAACTAAAACACTGAGTAAGCTAAGAGGGAAGAAAATGTCAAATTTTCAGAAGTGGTGCCGAAAATTATAGCCAATACCATTGTAAGAAGGTATTGTTACAAGCATTTTACTGAAAATAAACAAAAAGGGACAGTGGCTTGACTTTAACTTTTAACATATTGATGCCTAAATAGACCACTAAAAGTAAACCTCAGGAACACACCCTTGTCTAATCCCATCAAGGAAAAGCATTTTGATTGGTTGTCAGAGTACTTAGATCCCCACCCTCTCTAACTATAAATGAGGCACACAGACTATCCAGAGGAGCTTCCCACTTCGACAGAACTGCTGGAGTTTAGAAGCTGGCTACAGTTGGTGAGCATCAGAATGGAGGATCAGCTCTCTAAACTTGCATTGATTGGAAAGATGGACTCGGACATCTCCAAGGCCTTCCAGGAGGAACTGACCTGTGTCATCTGCTTGGGTATCCTCATAGACCCAGTCACCATCGACTGTGGACACACTTTCTGTCAACCATGTATCTGCTTTGCCTGGGAAGAAGCCGAGATTCCAGACATGTGCCCTGTCTGCAGGGGTCCATCGCGGCAAAGAGACCTCAAAACCAACATCATTCTGAAGCATCTGGTGTCCATTGCTAGAAAAGCTAGCCTCCGGCAGTGCCTGAGCTCTGAAGAACACCAGTGTGAGATACACAAGGAGGCCAAGCAGACGTTCTGCGAAGTGGAAAAGGAGTTGCTCTGTAAGCTCTGCTCCCAGTCTCCGGGGCACAGGAACCATAGACATTGTTCCATTGAAGGCGCTGCTGAGCAGCAACAGGAGCTGATGTTAAAGCAAATGAGATCTTTATGGGACAAGATACAAGAAAACAAGAGAAACATGAATCAACAGCTTGTTTTAGTCACCGATTGGATTTGCTATGTGTATACCTATCGCCAGCTCATCAACAATACCTATGAGATGCTGCTTCCAGAATTGCAGGAAGAGGCAAAAAAGCATTCAGACATACTTTCAGTTGAAGAAAGCACCACTTTACAGCAACTTGAAAGAAGAAAAACACAAATGCTGAATAAGAACAAACAACTCAGAAAGATGTATCAGGAGCTGCTGAAAACATATCAAAATCCAGATGTGGAACTCCTCAAGGATTTGAAATACATACTACGAAGGTGTGAGTCACTGTTGGTCTTTCTGCCCCAACCTATGAATCCAAAGCTCAGTGGTCTTCCCATGTCTGGACTGATAGAAGAACTCAACCAGTACAGAGTGGAGATTTCCTTCAACCAGGAGCCACAGAATCCTGATGTGATGCTGTTTGACTATGTGAGAAAACTCATAAATGGCCAAGACAACGATGATGTATTTTTGAATTCTGATGGATCCAGCGATTTGACTGCATGGGGAGTAAATGTGTTCAGCTCTGGGAAACATTACTGGGAGTTGAGTGTAGATGACTCTTGGGACTGGGCATTAGGAGTCTGTAGGAATTCTGGGGTACGGAAGAACTCCACAATAATTGACTCTGAGGATATATTTCTGCTTTTGTGTGTGAAGGGGAGTAATGATTCCCATCTCTTTACCTCATCTCCATTTTTGTCTCATTATATGGAGAGGCCTGTGGGCAGGATTGGTGTGTTCCTAGACTTTGAAAATGGAAACTTGAGTTTTTTTAATGTTGCTAAGAGCTCCTTTATCTGGAAGTACCCCACTGGCTACTTCCAATTTCCTGTCAGGCCTTTTTTTGCTACTTCCCATACATGATGATTCATTACTGAAAAGTTTGTCTAAGAATATGGACCTGTTCTGTGAAGCACATCACTAATACTGTACTGTGTGTTTTTTTGGCTTTCTTTGTACTTTAATATACACTCATTTTGTTATTAATTATGAACATGTAATAAAGTGAATTATAAAATGAAAATGACTTCCAGTGAATCTTTTTGGCTTTCACTTTTTTTTTTTTTGAGACAGGGTTTTATTTTATATGTAACTAGGCAGGCCTAGATTTCATCGTATAGTCCAGACTACCCTCAAACGGTCTTTGAGTGCTGGGATTGCAAGTATTGCTGCTATGCCTGGTTTACAGGTTTATTGCTTGCTTCTGTCATAGTCTTTTTTTTTTTTTTTTAATTTTATTTTATTTTATTTGAGAACATATTGTACAGAGGGGTTACAATTACATGGGCAGGATAATGCATACATTTCTTACCAAGCATTGCAGCCTCCTCCTTTGTTTACCCTTCACCTCCCTTCCCAGCCTCTCCCCTCCCCCCCCACCCAATCACACACCCCCTCCCCCCCCCCCCACACCAATATTGTAAAGCTGGTTTTGACATGACATTTTGTACTTCTCATTGTTGCAACAGGTCCACCTGAATCCTTAAACGACTTGTTTGTCCCCGTTCCTCCACATGTTATACTGACATCAAATATAGTGAAAGGGACATACAAAGCAACAAAGAAATAATCTTATAAATGCGTTAGAAACACATGCATGAAAGAAACAAAAACATTAAAATACATATTTGAGGGTTCGTTTTCCTAACATCACATTATCTGACTTTTTCCACTTGACTCATACCTATACTAGATATTGCAAATAAGGGAAACCATGGGACCTATGTTTCTTTGGGCCTGGCTTACTTCACTTAATATAATTTTTTCCAAGCCTTTCCATTTCCTAACAAATGGGGAAATGTCATTCTTTCTGATGGAGGCATAGAATCTGTCATAGTCTTGGTTGGAGTGAGACTTCCTCCTTTCTGAAACTCTTCTTCTTCTCTCTACTCCCCTCTAGCTACATGCTCACATTTTTCTTCTTCAGGCTACATTTCTTTTTTTCTTTCTTTTTCTGGTCATGGGGCTTGAAGTCTGGGCTTGGGCTCTGTCCCTTTGCTTCTTTTGCTCAAGTCGAGGGCTGTACCACTTGAGCTACAGTGCCACTCTGGCTTTTTTGAGTCATCTATTGGAGATAAGAGTCTCATGGGGTTTCCTGCTTTGACTGGCTTTGAACCTCCTGAGTAGCTAGGAATATAGGCATGAGTCACTAGTGTCTGGCTACACTTCATGACAGAACGTGGTTTTGTTTTTGCAAAGTTTTATTAAAGACTTACCCCACATAACAAGTTAAAATAGGGAGAAATGGGAAACAGAGAACCTCTTATCTTCTCAAATACAGGAAATATAAGTATAAGACTTAAAGTGTGGATTCCTCTTTGTAGCATTTACACATGGTCACGTGAGTTTAGCTCTCATTGAACTTTTGACAATAGTATTTGGTGGATAAAGGATAGTTAGGGCTGGCAGGTGCCAGTGGCTCACACCTGTAATCCTACCTACTCAGGAGGCAGAGATCTGAGGATCTGGCTTCAAACACAGTCTAGGCAAGAACCAGTTCTAGCCTCATGACCAAAAAGAAAAAAGAAAAGATAATTAGGGCTCACCTCAAACCTAGGTAAACTTCAGGACTTCTAGAATTTTACTATTGCAAAGGAGAGGCAGATTTAGATAGGCTCCAATGTTTACATATTTCATATATATGAATTTAAATATTACCTCTTCCATCTGGAAATAAATTTTCCTTTACTTTCTCACTTTTATTTACTTCAAAACTTGGAAATCTGTTTTTAATTTCAGTTGAATGTGTTTTTGTTCAGATGAGGGACTCAATGGTTCAAGCTCCCTAGCTCCCTTCCATTCCTTGTTGTTCCCTACCCCCTCTCTCCCTTACTCCCTCTCTCTGTCCCTCCCTGCTTCCCTCCCTCCTTCCTTCCCTCTCTCCTTGCCTCCCTAGCCTCCTTCCTTCCTTCCTTCCTTCCTTCTTTCCTTCCTTCCTTCCTTCCTTCCTTCCCTCCTTCCCTGCCTCCCTCCTTCCCTCCCTCCCTCCGTCCCTCCTTCCCTCCCCCCCTGCCTCCCTCCTTCCTTCCTTCCTTCCTTCCTTTTTTTTTTTGCATTTGTCTCTGTGGTTCATGCAGGGTTTTTGTCTGTGATGCACTGTTCTTTCAGTAGATGCTGTGTCTGCACTAGATGTATCTAGGCTCCTTATTTGTGTGCTTCTGAGATCAGCTTTCTCCCCCAGACCTCTAGGCATCCCTGAACTCAGAGCCTGTGGATGAGGCACAATCCTGGTAGGACTTCCCATTTCTTGCTTCTTTCTGTCTGTGCTGGGTCTGTTGTTATTGAAGAGCATGATAATCCTACTCAGGGAAGCTCAGAACACACCCTAGTCCAATCCCATCAAGAAAAGCATCTTGATTGGTTGTCAGAGTACTTAGATCCCAGCCTGTCTAACTATAAATGGAGCCAAAGCACTGAGGCACACAGACTATCCAGAAGAGCTTCCCACTTCAACAGAACTGCTGGAGTTTAGAAGCTGGCTACAGTTGGTGAGCATCAGAGTGGAGAATCAGCTCTCTAAACTTGCCTTCATTGGAAAGATGGACTCGGACATCTCCAAGGCCTTCCAGGAGGAACTGACCTGTGTCATCTGCTTGGGTATCCTCATAGACCCCGTCACCATCGACTGTGGACACACTTTCTGTCGACCATGTATCTGCTTTGCCTGGGAAGAAGCCGAGATTCCAGACATGTGCCCTGTCTGCAGGGGTCCATCGCAGCAAAGAGACCTCAAAACCAACATCATTCTGAAGCATCTGGTGTCCATTGCTAGAAAAGCTAGCCTCCGGCAGTGCCTGAGCTCTGAAGAACACCAGTGTGAGATACACAAGGAGGCCAAGCAGACGTTCTGCGAAGTGGAAAAGGAGTTGCTCTGTAAGCTCTGCTCCCAGTCTCCGGGGCACAGGAACCATAGACATTGTTCCATTGAAGGGGCTGCTGAGCAGCAACAGGAGCTGATGTTAAAGCAAATGAGATCTTTATGGGACAAGATACAAGAAAACAAGAGAAACATGAATCAACAGCTTGTTTTAGTCACCGATTGGATTTACTATGTGTATACCTATCGCCAGCTCATCAACAATACTTATGAGATGCTGCTTCCAGAATTGCAGGAAGAGGCAAAAAAGCATTCAGACATACTTTCAGTTGAAGAAAGCACCACTTTACAACAACTTGAAAGAAGAAAAACACAAATGCTGAATAAGAACAAACAACTCAGAAAGATGTATCAGGAGCTGCTGAAAACATATCAAAATCCAGATGTGGAACTCCTCAAGGATTTGAAATACATACTACGAAGGTGTGAGTCCTTGTTGGTCTTTCTGCCCCAACCTATGTATCCAAAGCTCAGTGGTCTTCCCATGTCTGGACTGATAGAAGAACTCAACCAGTACAGAGTGGAGATTTCCTTCAACCAGGAGCCACAGAATCCTGGTGTGATGCAGTTTGACTATGTGAGAAAACTCATAAATGGCCAAGACAACGATGATGTATTTTTGAATTCTGATGGATCTAGCAATTTGACTTCATGGGGAGTAAATATGTTCAGCTCTGGGAAACATTACTGGGAGTTGAGTGTAGATGACTCTTGGGACTGGGCATTAGGAGTCTGTAGGAATTCTGGGGTCAGGATGAACCTTACGATAATTGACTCTGAGGACTTATTTCTCCTTATCTGTGTGAAGGGGAGTAATGATTCTCATCTCTTTACCTCGTCCCCATTTTATTCTCATTATATAGAGAGGCCTGTGGGCAGGATTGGTGTGTTCCTAGACTTTGAAAATGGAAACTTGAGTTTTTTTAATGTTGCTAATAGCTCCTTGATCTGGAAGTACCCCACTGGCTACTTCCAATTTCCTGTCAGGCCTTTTTTTGCTACTTCCCATACATGATGATTTATTACTGGAAGGTTTGTCTAAGCATATGGACCTGTTCTGTGAAGCACATCACTAATCCTGTACTCTGTGTTTTTTGGCTTTCTTTGTACTTTAATATACACTCATTTTGTTATTAATTATGAACATGTAATAAAGTGAATTATAATATGAAAATGACTTCAGTGAGTCTTTTTTGCCTTTACTTTTTATTTTTTTGAGACAGTGTTTTATTTTATATGTAACTAGGCAGGCCTACAATTCATCGTGTAGTCCAGACTACCCTCAAACTCTTGAGCTTCTTGGTCTTTGAGTGCTGGGATTGCAAGTATTGCTACTATGCCTGGTTTACAGGTTTATTTCTTGCTTCTGTCATAGTCTTGGTCGGAGTGAGACTTCCTCCTTTCTGAAACTCTTCTTCCTCTCTCTACTCCCCTCTAGCTACATGCTCACATTTTTCTTCTTCAGGCTACATATCTTTCTTTCTTTCTTTTTCTGGTCACGGGGCTTGAAGTCTGGGCTTGGGCTCTGTCCCTTTGCTTCTTTTGCTCAAGTCGAGGGCAGTACCACTTGAGTTACAGTGCCACTCTGGCTTTTTTGAGTCATCTATTGGAGATAAGAGTCTCATGGAGTTTCCTGCTTGGACTGGCTTTGAATCTTAATCCTCAGGTGTCTACCTCCTGAGTAGCTAGGAATATAGGCATGAGTCACTAGTGTCTGGCTACACTTCATGACAATATGTTTTTTTTTTGGGGGAAGTTTTATGAAGCACTTATCCTAGTATAATAAGTTAAAATAGGGAGAAATGGGAAACAGAGAACCTCTTATCTTCTCAAATGCAGGAAATGGAAGTAAAAGACTTAAAGTGATGGTTCTTCTTTGTGGCTTTTATACATGGTCATGTGAGTTTAGCACTCCCTGAACTTTTGACAATAGTATTTGGTGGATAAAGGATAGTTAGGACTGCCAGGTGCCAGTGGCTCACAACTG